CCCCTCCTCGGCCCCGCCGCCCGCTCCCGCCTCCCGCTGGGTCACGCGGGGCCAAGGCTGAGGACGGAGGCGGGGCCTCGGGCGGGAGGTTCCGGAACCGGATGCAGACCCGGGGGAGCGCGGGGCCGTGGGGGGCGAGCGTTGGCCTGGTCTGGGAAGCTGGCGCTCAGGTGAGGCTGGTGGGGATGCGTAGAAGCGCGGGGCGGGCGGTCAGGACTACAAACCGACCTCGTCCGGTAGGAACGTCCACGGAGCGCCCCGCGGAAGCCCAGGAGATGCTCGTTAGGAGCTGCGCGCCAGGAGCTGTTCTGTTCGGTTCCGAGGTGTGTTGGCGCCCCCTCATTAACCCGTGAGTGACCCGGTGCAGGCACGCGGTCGCTCCTGGCTCCCAGGGGTGGAATTTGGGCAATCAGACGCCACCCAAGGGAAGGGGCTCCTGATCACACCCCTCAGCCCCTTCACTTGGATCCCTGTAGAATACTTGCAAAGCACATTTAGGAAGACTTCGATTCAGCATGGCTATGGCTCAATTTCTCAAGACCATTCTCCTCTAACATGGTTAACATATGTTGTTTTTTGAACGATTACATACGTTCCATCAATGTACTTCTATAGACACAAGTAATGTAGAAATACCAGGGTTCACTTTTTGTCAAGGTAGAAACACCTTACTAAACTGGATTATTAGTCTGGAAATAGGTTCAAATTGTCCACATCAACCACGGGCCTTGTTATTCTTTTTCGTATTTTAACTATCAGACCTGAATGCAGCAAGCCAGGTATAATGTAGCTAGTCTGAAGCCTGTCAAGCAAAAAGTTATGGCTCAAATGGTGGAACACCTTTCTAGGAAACATGAGATCCAGAGGTTAAAGCCCCAGTATCACCAAAAAAAAAAAAAGCCTAGAAGGGCAGTTGGCACTGATCTCAAAAATAAACAATGTAAATTAAGAGTCCTGCAGGTACCCATAGCCCATGCCTATAATCCTAGCTATAAATAGTATATTTCAAAAAAAATGCCTACCCTGTGAATGACAAGAGATGAATTCAAGAACTTTCACACACCTTTTCTAGTTTTGAAATGTAGGTCTTGCTTTGTAGCCTAGGCTAGTCTTCAACTCATGAACCTCCTGCCTCAGCCTCCCAAGTGCTGGGATTCCAGGCCTGTACCACCATACTCAGCTTTCACAACACATTGATTTTAATCCACAATCCCTTATCTGAAACTTTTGAAGCCAGACATTTCAGAATTAAAATTTTCTAAACATTTTAGAAAACATCAAAAATTTTACCCAAGAAATATAGTATATCATAAACAATACTCTGCAGGGGTATTCAAATGCACTAACAATATTCTGGACTGAAAATTAAGTAGGAGTAAGAACTGTTAACTTCAGGATAGATTGTTTGCACACAAAAACTTAAGGAAGAAAACAAAAAACAAAAACTGTGGCACATATCTGAATAGCATTAGGAAAGCACAGACAGCATGAGTTCAATGTTAGCCTGGAAGAGATGGTTTCTCCTGTTTCTTTGAAGAACAAACAAAAACCATTGTTTTCCTAATCAAAGAAAAATGATTTCTATTTTCTAAGTGTTTCTAAGATTTTAGTACTATGGACTGAGAATGTATTAAACAACTTCAAGTTCAGGCATATTAAGGTCTTAAACTCTAAGTGAAATTGACTTGTATAGTTTCCTCCACTTAACATAGCAACTTGTACAGTTGTGAACATTATAAAAAATATTAACTAACAAATTTGAAATGTCCAACATATTCCATATATCTTCAGTTTCCCTTGGAATGTGTTCAGTGTGAGAATACCTATAATAAAATGAACAGCAGTAATACAAAATCATAATTCATGGTCAAACATAACTATTTATTAGGCTTTTTTTCTTATAAACATTCAATTTCTCCTTTAAAAAACAAAACTAGAATTTAAATACTTCCCAACCCATCACATACAAGTTCGTATACATTATTTACATCTTTCAAATAAAACATATTACAGATCTTCTGACATTCTGTCAATATCCTCTTTAAAATAATGAAGCAATTAAACTTTGACTAGTAACTACAACTTGCATAATTGTGGCACAGCTTTCAGTACAGCACCCAGGTTACTTCTCATACTTTAGACCAATTCGTCTCAAACATAGAAACTTTCTTTTCAAGGGCAGGATCTGGTGTCTTCGTGCAGTTTCTTAAATACCTGAACACTGTGAAGCTGCCCTCATGGTTCTATCGATTGGCACTGACAATATTTTTCTGGTTTTGTCTTCAGAAATGAGTTCTATTCAAGCGTTTTGGTACTTACCATAATCTCTTTCATAATTCATGAAACTCTTCCTAGTGGTTATTTTAAGTAATAACTTAAATGTATAGAAAAAATCAAATAAACAAACTATTCTCTAAAAGATCACCTCATCACCCTGGTTAAACATGTAGGAAAATAATACACATTTAATGGCTGTTAAAAAAGAACAAAACTATTTTCCCTAAAAAGTTATTTCTTCAGAAAAATTTAAAGAGAAAAGGTATTCTTACATGGAAGTGTACTAATCTATTTCATAACCTACGAAATTATTTTAGGAACAAAACAAAAATGAAAATTTGTGCAAAACTTAAGAAACATCCAGCTGTAAGAATATTAATATGTAAAAGAAATTAAATACTAATAAAGTTCCACTTCACTAATTGTAGCTTCAGTGACATAATTTTTTAAAAACTGTCAAACAAACTGAAACCTAGGTGGTAAGAGTAAGTACTTCAGAACCACTAACTTGTTTCCATGTTGGGAAGGGGAAGAGGAGGAAAAAAGACAAGAATGGGAAAACAAAGATGGGCAGGAATGACCACAGTGATTTCATCTCTGGTTGAGAATTGTAGACCAGATTTTGTACTATATAATACTTTATGCAAAATGAAGGGAGGGAGGGAAAGACAGAGGCTTGCATTGCCCTTGTAGAACATAATACCAAATATTTTAATCTGTTTCTGTTGTTAAAACACAAGTAAGTTCAGCTATGAGTGGCAAACATGGGTTTACAATTTTTTTTTTTGTCAGTCATGGGGCTTGAACTCTGGGCCTGGGCGCTGTCCCTCAGCTCTTCAGCTCAAGGCTAGCGCTCCACCACTTGGGCCACAGCACCACTTCCAGTTTTCTGGTGGTTAATTGGAGATGAGTCTCAAGGACTTTCTTGCCTGGGCTGGCTTTGAACCGAGACCCTGAGATCTCAGCCTCCAGAGTAGCTAGGATTTCAGGCGTGAGCCACTGCTGCCCAGCCATGGATTACAATTTTATGCCTTCCAAACAAATTCTCTTTAACTTATTAGTTGGGCCCTAAAAGTGCAAATCACCTTTACCTCTAAACATTTGTCAGTTTGTAACAATCAAGCTAACAACTAGTCAAGAGTGTTTATAATGGTAAATCTAATGTCATGACGAAACTCTGATACTTAAATTATTTTAGAAGTGGTCTATAAAGTATAGAGCTGCTTATAGGAACTGGTATATTCTTTAAAATCCCAGATAAGCTTCAAATAAGGTAAGTTTTCATAGTATACTATCATTTCCAAATTACAGATATACTTTGGTCCCTAACCTTTTCAAAAGACAGTCAAAATTTAAAGTTATAAGTGATACATGAAATAGTTTTACCATTCTAAATATTTGTGACATGTAGGCTTCAAAGTTGGCATAATTAGCACATAATACTTATTCCAATTTGTCTGTACAACTATCTCCAGTTTACTCTATTGTTCACTTTAGTGAAAACCCATCTTTTAAAAAAAAGGCAAAAGCTCTAATGTATTCACTTTTCTATACTGTCAAATCAAAATTATTGTGCAACAGTCAAGACAATTAAAAATTTTAAGAAAAAGGAACAAAAATAGAAGAAAATATATAGAGAAGTACTTTTTTAAATTACTATATTTAATTGTAAGGAATTTAGCTGTAGTTTTTAAAAACTTACAAACCCTAATGATATTGCCCACTTCAAAACAGTACCATCAAGAAACCATTCCTTCATTCTGTGATTCCATCAATGCTTTAAAAAAAATCTTTTCTCTATTCAGTGCCTGTAACACATTCTTTTGAATTTCCCTACTAGATTAGTTCTCAGGGATCAGCCAAGTTACAATACTTGGTTTGGTGAGAAGGGAGATCATATACGCTTCTAAAAAAATTTTGTGCAGTTAAAATGATGGATTCTTTGCCTAATCACAATCTGATTCTCACACTTCCAGCATAAAAGGAGTTAAGTGATCATAAGAGAACTACTCTGAAGATCAACTCTCACTTGGATATTAAGTTATGACATATTCATTTGAAAAGAAATATCTACTATTTAATATTTGTATTTCATATATTCTACCATTTTAGTGGTTATTAAACCTCTCTCAAAGAGGAGGTAGACAAAGCTATAAAAGTAATCTGTAATTTTGCTATTTTCCCATAAGCAAGAAAAATGTAACACATAAAATGGAGTCTAGTGATTACATGTGCAAAATATAAATAAACAAATTGTTTCCTAATAAGAGATTGTAGTGGTTCATTGATCATGATACCAAGCAGTAACTCAGTCTGAAATATATTATATACTAAACATATATTCTTTACCTACTAAATTTTATGCTGATCATTTAGAATTTACAAATGACTAACTAACAAAGGAAAGATAGAGACAGCAATCTAAAATCTTTCACTTTAAAGTAAACTGACCTCCCTCTAAAGCCCCTAGCACCTGTTTAATGTTTTAGAGTACTCTAATGCTCTGGGTTTGTGGGAAACAGTAAAATCAAGTCAGCAAGTGAAAGGCAATAGCACTATCTTCCACCAACTTAAAATTTTTTAGTCTTTCTTATGGAGCCATGGCTTAAGTGATAGAGTATTTGTCTAGCAAGTAAATGCAAGACTCAGATCAAACCCTCTTACTGGGGGTGGCGTGGGAGTGGGGGGGATGTACTCTGTCAGTTTCACTACCATGAGTCCATCATTTAAAATAATTGCTAAATCTTACATCACCAGATTTAACAAAATCAGAGAATCACAATAGCACTGTAACTTAGTACTTTTTATTTTGAGAATTTTTTAATCAAAGAATGAGAAAAATAACTAACATCTACTTTTGTTATTTTGTATAGAGCTGGGGGAAAAAATAAAAATCTTGGTTATTTATAAATTAAAAAAACATGAAAAAGTCTAATAGATATTTATGCAAGCTCTGCTTCCAAATCAAGCTGTGATGATCGTTTTATAATGGCTGTTTTTCTCTCATAGGAACCAATTAAATTAAAACTAATTTTTAATAAATCAATCTATTCTCTGGCAAGTGTTTTTGCTTCTTTTCACCTAACACCATAGACAAAGGCCAGGCCTCTCCCTAGGAGAATTTCTATGCTTTGTTACCATAGGCATAGAGACCTCCTACCTCCCAGTAACTGATTAAGTGACTACTTGGAAACAGACACCCGAGATTCTGCCACAGTGAAAACAAAATCCTATCTACATATATTAAGAAAGTAAATTCTATTACCAATTATAATTTACAGAATATTTTTCCGTTTCTATAGTGTGCTACTATATAAAGCTTAAAAGAACAAGAAAAGCCTTTCACTTTTCACTCTACACTTGGCTATTGCAATTCCTTCATTACTAGGTTGTTATAAAGTCAAATGCCACATGGAAGACAATTTGAGTTGTCACTTGCTTCATTCCTATAACTCAAAAATTATGACATTATAATTCTTTTTTCAATTAGCCTATAGTGGTTGATATTATTTCTTTGAATACTGAAAATTTGTTTTAAGGAATCAGTTAGCTCCCTTAAGTATAACCAATAAATGCCCAAAATATTTGCCTCTGCCAGGGTCTCCTGATATTTACCCTATTAGTACTTGGTAGGTAAAAAAATGATAGAAATGAATGGAGAAAACTATTAGTACTTGGTAGGTAAAAAACTGATAGAAATGAATGGAGAAAAAGGCAGTTCGTGATTAGTAAATTTTATCACTGTTCTATTAATGTCAGAAACAAATTTACTTCATTCTAAATTCTTTCCTGCTAACTGCTTAGAATCTATACAATTTCAAAGCAAGCGTTTCTAGCCTACCAAGAAAAAGGCATATATTTCTAATTGCAGGAATGGTATTTTTCTAATTGAGGAAGCAGATTTATCAAAACTAGTAAAAAAAAATTGATAATCTGAAATCTATTCAGAGTATCTCTTAAAAATGACTCTGGAGGTAAAACACATTAAAAAACTAAGTTTCTTGTTATTAATAGTAGTAACTCACTAGAAGTCTTAACAAATTTAAAAGTAACTACTGAGTTAGCATTTTCATTGTTTATTACTGCAAAGAAAAAAATTTCCTTTCACAGTGGAAAAATCAGAAGTCAGAATGCTTCAAACTGGGCCTATAATAAGCAAAGAAAGGTACTGTATCATTTTAAAATGATAGGCGAACACCAACTCCATTCATTGAATGGAAATGCTAAAAAGTGATCAATTTCCTATGGTTAATATCTGTACCTAAAATTAATAATTTATTTTTAACTTCTCATGGAAGTTGATTCTTCTAAAAGGAAGTCTCTAAGACTCTGTTTATAAGTAATTTATTAAAATCTCATACCATTCTATATAAGGGTTGTAAGACAGGACTTTCTAGAACTTGACTCTCCATATTTAATCCTATCTTTAACTCCCCAAACTACCCCAAATCAAGCACACTCTCCTTTTCCCTCCTCTTTGAAGTAGAAAGGGATTCTGTAGACTTATGGCTCATTTGGCAATTGCTAGGAAACCTCACAGTTCAGCATCACCTCTCAAGATGGCAATCCTATATTAACCTGAAGTTTTACACTTATAGTGCAGTTAATATGTAGAAAGAAGCCAAAATGCAATAGGTATTACATTTCAACATCCTCAAGTTTCAATATCACAGATATTAAGAGATGGAAAAAGACCTGCTTGTAGAACTTTAAGCATTTGTTGAACAGAATATATTACTGTCAATATCAAAAATAATTAAGAAATAATTTTTTCTTGTTCTACATCTTTATGTTCTACATGCACACCTTTACAAATTATGTTTGTCCAATGTAGTAAAAGCTGGAGATCATCAATTTAGATAAACTATGGCTTTTATGACAGATTATTTTACAACATGCACCAGTAAGTGCCCTGGGTAGTAATCCTAATATTATTTCGAGTTCTGTTCAGGTCTATGTCCGTGCTTTGCACCTCAGAAGTGAGCCTGCCAAGGCACTTAAAAACATAAATTTTTTGGAGACTTCAAAAATGGGCCACAATTTACACAACACAGACCCCAAGACATCAGCAGTTCAGTTAGTAAGCAATTTTTTCACACACAATTTTCTTTACAAAAAAGAATAAAGTCCTAAGTAACCAAAGCCAGGTTTAAAAAAACAACAAAAACTATATTCCACTAAGATAAAATTTACCCCTTTCAAATATAGCAAATGGTTCTTGGCTTCCAATAGCAATAGAATATGGTTTCAATATTGGGAATAAAGAAAAGGAAACCCAAGCAATCCCCAAAACCCAACAAGAACAATCCAAATAAAACAAAATACAACAAAAATCCAAATGCACTCCACACTGCTTCATTTAAGAAACAATCTGCACATTCTTGCATGCTTTTATCTGTCCTTAGAGGTGAGTTTTTCAATCAGTTCTTGGAGTGGTGCAAGTTCTCTTCTGTCAATAAGGTTGAATTCCTAAGCATAAAAAAGACAAAAGAAATAACAAAACTTACTATTAACATCTAATTTCAACGCAGATTGCCATTAGCCAAAGTTAAAAATTATTTTCTGATTAAATTATAAGTATTAGACTTGATTTTTTTTTCAGTTCACTAGATGTGTCTGGGAAAAGTTTAATCTCGTTTTATACTGTTTTTATATATGTAAAATTAGAAGCTATATCTTCCTAACTCATAAAATACTGTAGGAAATAAATGTGATAATAGATGTTAACTACTTTACATAAATAGCACAAAGTAACTTTCAATAAATAGGAGTTGCTGCATTTTAATTTGTACCATTTAAATTTGTCACCCAATAGAAATCACACTAAAAGACCTTCATCCAAGAAAAGCCCAGGACCAGATGGATTCAGAGCTGAATTTTTTTTTTTTTTTTGCCAGTCCAGAGGCTTGAATTCAAGGTCTGCGCACTGTCCCTGAGCTTCTTTTTTTGCTCAAGGCTAGCACTCTACCACTTGAGCCAAAGCACCACTTCTGTCTTTTTCCCCTGCTTATGTGGTACTGATTAACTGAACCAGGGCTTCATGCATGTTAGGCAGGCATCCTACCACTAAGCCATAGTCTCAGCCCCTCACAGCTGAATTCTATAAGGCTTTCAAAGGAGAACTCATTCCAACGCCCCTCAAACTCTTCAATGAAAGAGAAAGATCACTACACTAAACTCATTCTATGAAGCTACCATAAATAACCCTCATCCCAAAATCAGATAGAGACTTATCAACAATAGATCCATCTTTACTGCACATCAATGCAAAACTTCTCAAATTTCTGGCCTAGGATAATCTTACCAGACAAGTAGAAAGGTCAAAAGCTATGTACAAATGATGCTAAGCGAAATGAACCCCAAGATAGAGATACAAGTGGTTTTATCTTTCTTGCTATTGTTTTTAATGTACTATGTGATATTTTTGTTTCTTTTGTATGTTTTTCCCCTATGGTAAAACCCCTGTTGTTAATGTATTTCATTCTGGTGCCCTGCATCTTGTATATACATTTTTCTAATGTAGGGAGGGGAAGGGAAATAACAAAACGCTGAAACAAGGATACAGGTTGACCCATTTTAACAATGAAACCTACAAGACACTATGTTGAAAAGCAACTTTATAACTTGGGGGGGAGTGGGGGAGAAGTTGGGGAGGTGGGGTGGGAAGGGATGGTAGGGGAAAAACAAAGGAGGGGGTAACAATGCTCAATAGGAAATGTACTCATTATCTTACTCATGTAACTGTAAGTCCTCTGTACAGTCTCTTTACAATAAACATTTAAAAAAAATTTTTAAAGAACCCGAGGAAATCCAAAACTTGTGGTATCTATATACAATGGAATATTATGCAGCCATTAGAAATGACAAAATAATGGCATTTGCAGGGAAATGGATGGAGCTAGAAGGAATCATGTTGAGTGAGGTAAGCCAAGAACGAAGAGACAAACGGTACATGGTCTCCCTGATAAGTGGATGCTAAATCCAAAATGTTACGTAATACGACAAAACTAACAGGACTTAAGAAACAAAGAACTCCCACTCATCTGGTTGAACCACTACTAAATATCCCCATGCTGCTGATCACATATATGGTATATAACATGTGAACACCATTATGTTACAGACTGTGATAGACAATTTGCTCCAGGAAAGTTAGAATGAACTTGTGACTTTAAATGAGCATCATTATTCCACAATACTGTGAAATTCCGGAAATTTTGTAATCAATTAATCACAATAAAAAAAAAAAAAGAACCTCGGGGAAGGGAGGGAGGGAGGGGATGGTAGGGGGGAAAACAATGGAGGGGGTAACAATGTTCAAGAGGAAGTGTACTCATTACCTCACTCATGTAACTGTAACCCTCTGTATAGTATCTTTACAATAAAAAAAAAAAAGAACCCAAGGAAAAAAAATTTTGGCCAACCAAATTCAACAACTAACCAAAAACAATCGTATACTATGATTAAACAGGATTCCAGGGAAGCAGAGCTGAATCAATATATGCAAGTCAATTAAGGTACTTCAACACATCAACAGAAGCAAGGCCAAGAACCACATGATCGTCTTGGTAGATGCAGAAAAAGCATCTGACAAGATTCAACATCCCTTTATGATAAAAACTCTAGGAAGCCAGGAATCAGTGCAACATTCCTGAATTCCTCAATATAATAAAGGCTGTATATGACAAACTTACAGCCAGAATTACACTTAATGGTGGAAAGTTAAAACCATTTTCACTAAAATCAGGAATGAGATTAAGGATGCTGCTCTCTCCACTCCTCTTCAATGTAGTATTCGGATTCCTAGCAAGAGCAATAAAGGAAGAGAAAAACATAAAGGGGATCCAAATAGGGAAAGAAAAGTAAAACTATCCCTCTTTGCAGATGACATGATCCTGTATTGAAAGAACCCTATAGATTCCTCCCCCAAGTTACTTGAGCTGATCCAAAACTTTGTGGCAAAGTAGCAGTACCTAAAATTAACCCACAAAAATCAGTAGCTTTAAGCCAGGAATCAATGGCTCTCGCCTATAATCCTAGCTACTCTGGAGGCTGAGATCTGAGGATCATAGTTCAAAGCCAGCCTGGCTGGGCAGGAAAGTTTGTGAGACTCTTATCTCCAATAAACCACTAGAAAACCAGAAGTGGTGTTGTGGCTTAAGTGGTAGAGCACTCACCTTGAGGTGAAGAGCACAAGGACAGCGTCCAAGCCCAGAGTTCAAACCCCATGACCAACAACATCAACAACAAAAAATCAGTAGCTTTTCTGTATGCCAACAATGAGAACACCGAGATTGAAATCAGAAGTGCAACTCTATTTGTAATAGCTTAAAAAAAAAAAAAACTAAGAATTAACCAAAGATATGATGACTGCTTATTATGAAAACTTAAAAACCTGAAAAAAGGAATTAAAGCAGATTTATGGAAATGGAAAAACCTTCTATGCTCCTGGAAATTCTGCCCAAAGCTATCTACAAAATAAAAATCCCAACAACATTCAAAAATTTAAGAGAATAATAAAAATACCCCAACTAGCAAAAACAATCCTTACCAGGAAGAATAGTGCTGGGGGAATATAAAATAAAATTTCATACTCTATTACAAAGCCATAGTGATGCAAACAACTTGGTACTGGCACAAGAATAGGCTGAGGACAAAGGAACAGAAAACCCAGAAATGAACCCACAGACATACAGCCACCTAATATTTGATAAGGGAGCCCAAAACACATAATGAGAAAGACAGTCTCTTCAACAAATGGTGCTGGCAGAACTGGCTACTCACATGTAGAAAACTGAAGCTAGATTGTTATATTTCACCCTGTACCAGAATCAATTCCAAATGATCAAAAGCTTCAATGTAAGGCCAGATACCATTAAAATACCACAGGAAGGGATAGATGAAGTACTAGCCTCCTAGGCATAGGTTAAAACTTCCTAAATAAAGATCCAGAATCAGAGCAAATCAAAGCAAGACAGGATAGATGGGAAGGTATCAAAGTGAAGAATTTTTCAACAGCAAAGGACATAGCTAGCAAGATAAATAGAAAGCCCACAGAATGGGTGAAGACTTTTACTAGCTATCCATCTTAGAGCTCAAAAAATTAAAACCCTCAAAGAAACAACACCCAATTAATAAATGGGCTAAAGACTTAAAGAGAAATTTCTCAGAAGAAGACATAAGAATGGCCAATAGATACATGAAGAGATGTTCAACATATCTGGCCATAAAAGAAATGCAAATCAAGAGAACATTGAGGGCTGGGAATGTGGCTTAGTGGTACAGTGCTCACCAGCATGCAGGAAGCCCTAGGTTCAATTCCTCAGTACCACATAAACATAAAAAGCCAAAAATGGCTAGAGTGCTAGCCTTTAACACAAAGAGGCTCAGGGACAGTGCTCAGGGCCTGAGTGCAAGCCCCAGGACTGGCCAAAACAAAGACAACACTAAGACTCCACTTTATCTCAGTTAGAATAGTCATTATTAAGAAAACTAACAATGGCCAGGGGCCAGTGGCTCATGCCTATAATCCTAGCTATTCATTGGGCTGAGATGTGAGGATCTCGGTTCAAAGCCAGCTCGAGCAGGAAAGTCCATGAGACTCTTATCTCCAATTAACCACCAGAAAACTGGAAGTGGCTCTGTGGCTCAGGTGGTAGAGCACTAGCCTTGAGCTGAAGAACTCAAGGACAGCAACACAGGCCCAGAGTTCAAGCCCCAAGACTGACAAAAAAAAAAGAAAGAAAAGAAAACTAACAATAACAAATGCTAGCAGGGATATGGCCAAAAGGGAACTGCTATTGGGAATGGAAACTTGTTCAACCACTTTGGAAAGCAGTATGGAGGTTTCTCAAAAGACTAATCATAGAGGGCTGGGAAGGTGGCTCAGTGGTAGAGCACTTGCCTTGCATGCTCGAGGCCCTGGGTTCGATTCCTCAGCACCACATAAGAAAAAAAAAAGCCGGAAGTGGCGCTGTGGCTTGTGGTAGAGTGCTAGCCTTGAGCTGAAGAGCTGAGGGACAGTGCCCAGGCCCAGAGTTCAGGCCCCACGACCGGACCAAAAAAAAAAAAAAAGACTAATCATAGAGCTTGCCTATGACCCAGCAATTCTTCTCCTGAACGTTTACCCAACAGACCACAAACAAGGCTACACTAAAGCTACCAGCACAACCATGTTCACTGTAGCATTGTTTATATAGACAAGATATGAAGTCAACCTAGATGCCCCTTTGTGGACCAATGGATGAAGAAAATATGGTATATATACACAATGGAATTCTGTGCTTCCATAACAATGACATGGGCCCATTTATAAGGAAATGAAAAGATTCAGAAACAATAATACTAAGCGAAGTAAGCCAGACCCCAAAGAAACATAAGTTGCATAGTTTCCCTCATTTGTAGTAATCAGAATGTGCCTATATATCTACAAGTAAACACAATGGATGGTTAAAAAAAAAAAACTACACTTGGCTGAGGGAAGCTAGGAGGAGGGCACAGAATCAGAGGGATACAGGTGAAAAAATATAGTAGAGGGGGCCATCAGCTGCACTGAGCATTGATGAAAATGAACTAAGAACTCAAGGACAGCAATGGGAAGAAGGGAATGAGAGAGAAAGAGGGAACCGCTTACACTAAGCAAAAGGAAAGAAAGGTACATATCACCCATTGTGGAGGAAATAGTTGTATTATCAAAGTTTGTAGAGTTCATAAGGTTTATAGATCATAATAATGACAATTCGCCTTGTTAAAAGGTGTTTGTGACTTTAGCTAAGTATCACTATCCCATAATACAGTGAAATTTATGTAATCACTTAATCTCAATTAAAAAATTTTTAATTTACACTTGAACATGATCAATTAATTAAACATTCACACATCAAGACCAAAGGAGGATATTCTTAGGAGAGGATTACAAAGGCTCAAAAGCTATGTGCATATGATCTATAAAATGAGATTTGTCAAAATGAACTCCAAGAAATGGAAACAAGGTTTTCTGTTATTTGCTTTTTTTCCCCCTTTTTTGTCACTGTTTCTGATTTCTGTACCCTTTGTATTGTATGTAAGTTTATCTGTTTGGGAGATGGTAATGGAGAGCACAGAAATGATGGGACAAATGATGAAAAAAATGCAGCAGTGATATTCATTAGATCCTATCTTGAAAATGAGCTATATAACTTGTGAGGAAGGGGGGGGGGGTCAGGAGGAAAAAAGGAGGGAAAAGGAGAGAAGAGGTGACACTGTTGCCTTGCATGCATGAGGCCCTGGGTTTGATTCCTCAGCACTACATAAGCAGAAAGAAAAAAGCCAGAAGTGGCACTGTGGCTCAAGTGGTAGAGTGCTAGCCTTGAGCTGAAGAGCTGAGGGACAGCGCCCAGGCCCAGAGTTCAAGGCCCCACAACCAGACCCCCCAAAAAAAATTTATTTAAAAACTCAATAAACACAAGGCCAAATTAAAAAAAAAAATCCAGTGTAGACAAAAATAAGGGTTAAGGGGAATGAAAAGACTGCTAACAAGACACTAAGTTCATCAATAGAGCTGACCAACTAGTCAGGTTCCTTATTTAGCCCCTCCATATGGGATATGACATGAAACAAATTCAAGGCAAGGCCTCTCAGATACATTTTAGGTTTGCTTGCTATGACTTGGAGAGTAATGAAATTCAGAAGAAAAAGATAATCATTATCTTCATAGCAAAGGGAGAACAGAAGTGGATGCTAAATCCAAAATGTTAGGTGATACGACAAAACTAACAGGACTTAAGAAACAAAGAACTCCTGCTCATCTGGTTGAACCACTACTAAATATCCCCACACTGCTGATCACAAATATGGTATATAACATGTGAACACTGCTATATATTACAGACTGTGATAGACAATTTGCTCTAGGAAAGTTAGAATGAACTTGTGACTTAGAAATTATGTAATCACTTAATCACAATCAAAAAAAAAAAAAAGAACTTTGGGGAAGGGAGGGAGGGAGGGGATGGTAGGGGGAAAACAATGGAGGGGCTAACAATGTTCAAGAGGAAGTGTACTCATTACCTCACTCATGTAACTGTAACCCTCTGTATAGTATCTTTACAATAAAAAAAAAAAAGAAAAGAAAAGGGAGAACAGGAGGCAGACTTAAGGGATAAGGCAAATTCTATCCTGACCATCACAGCATCATCACAGTATTCATCACAGTACTCACAAAACAAATGCTTATAGTATACAGCAAAGGCCTCTTAATTCAACTTACCTGTACGAAAAAAATAAAGTGCTTAAAAGATGTGTTGAGATGTGCTTCCTCCTGAAGCTGGATCACAGGATCAAAATGTTGATGATAAATGTGAGCATAAACCCTAAAAAGACGTTTAAGAATAGTTTTTGCCACAGACATGAAGTTCTTTGGGAATGGAACACCTAGGAAAGAGAAAAACAACCCCTTCTGTTAGTAAGAGAACAAGGTAGCATGATTTTGTCAGCAAATACCAACATTAATTATCCAGACAAGGTTAAAAAGTAGCAGCATTTGGGGCTGGGAAGGTGGCTCAGTGGTAGAGTGCTTGCCTTGCATGCCTGAGGCCTTGGGTTCGATTCCTCAGCACCACATAAGCAAAAAGCCAGAAGTGGCACTGTGGCTCAAGTGGTAGAGCACTCACCTTGAGCTGAAGAGCTGAGGGACAGCGCCCAGGCCCAGAGTTCAGGCCCCACAACCGGACCCAAAAAAAAAAAATTAAAAGTAGCAGCATTTATGAATTACCATTTTATATTGTCTATTATGCTATTCAGAAGTTCTCAATATATCATGAATGAAAATAAACCCTAGTTTCTATGGAATAAGAATATTTCATTGGGCTGGGAAGGTGGCTCAGTGGTAGAGCGCTTGTCTTGCATGCTCGAGGCCCTGGGTTCGATTCCTCAGCACCACATAAGCAAAAAGAAAAAAGCCGGAAGTGGTGCTGTGGCTCAAGTGGTAGAGCGCTAGCCTTGAGCTGAAGAGCTGAGGGACAGCACCCAGGCCCAGAGTTCAGGCCCCACGACCGGACCCCCCCCCCAAAAAAAAAGAAGAAGAAAAAGAAAATTTCATTGTAACCTGTTATATCTCCAATATACCACCACTTTACTAAAATTAAACAAATACCTAAAATGGTAGTGAAGTATTAAGTACTCAGTTCTGTTTTAAATGTCAGTAATGTATCTTATACTTTTTCCTATTCCAGATGACTGTAGGCCTTATTCATCCAGAAATTAGCTCATCAAAAAATTCCTTGTTTTCTGTACTACAGCACTTTTACAACCTTAACCAAATATAAAACTAGAAAAATAGAAAATCTTTAAGAAGAAAAATGGAACCCTTAGACACTGTTGATGGTTATATTGACTAGTATGGCTCTTAAGGAAAACAGTATGTTTGAGTATACATTCAAAAGAAATAAATCCCCAAGGGCCAGGCACTAGTAGCTCACATTATAATCCTAGCTATTCAGGATGAGATCTGAGATCATGGTGCAAAATCAGCCCAGGGCAGGAAAATCCACAAGACTCTTTATCTCCAATTAACCACCAAAACACTGGAAGTGGAGCTGGGCTCAAAGTGATATGAGCACTAGAGCTCAGAGACAGCGCCCAGCCCTGAGTTCAAGCCCATGACCAACCTAAAAAACAAACAAGGTAAATTAAGGGAATATAATAAAGGGGAGTGTATGCATCTACAAAATTATCACAATAAAACTCCCTTGTACTATTAATAATACATTAAAAAATATACAATTTATTTTTAAAATAGTGTAAAAATGAGTAAAAAGAAAAGCACATCATAAAAACAACATAATTTCCATGTTTATTCCAGTATTATTCACCAGAGCCAAGACATGGAAACAAAGTAAGGATCTGTCAAAAGATACATTAATTTTAAAATTGCAGAAGATGAGCCACATATCAGTGGCTCACTTAGGAGGCTGAGATATGGAGGATCATAGTTCATACCCAGCCATCTTGGGCAGAAAAGTTCAAGAGACACTTTAGAACCATCTACGTTAGGAAGCCTAAAACAGGTAAATCTCAGTTGCTGAAAGAACATGAGACTCTATCTCAAAAAAAGTGGGAGGCACCGGCGGCTCACGCCTGTAATCCTAGCTACTCAGGAGGCTGAGATCTGAGGATCGAGGTTCAAAGCCAGCCAGGGCAGGAAAGTCCGTGAGACTCTTATCTCCAATAAACCACTAGAAAATCAGAAGTGACACTGTGGCTCAAGCGGCAGAGCGCTTGCCTTGAGCTGAAGAGTGCAGTAACAGCGCTCAAGCCCAGAGTTCAAGCCCTATGACTGACAAAAAAAAAAGATTCAGCAATAGAACATCTAATTAGCAAGCCCTGAGTTCAAACTCCAGTAACACAAAAAGAAGAAATATATGATAAGGTACACACACACAGACACAATTATTATTCAATCTTAAGAAGGAGGGAATCAGGCTGGGAATGTGGCTTAGTGGTATAGTGCTTGCCTAGCATGCATGAAGCTCTGGGATCAATTCCTTAGTACCACATAAATAGAAGAAGCTGAAGTGGAACTGTGGCTCAAGTGGTAAAGTGCTAGCCTTGAGCAAAAGGGCAGTACCCAGGCCCTGAGTTCAAGCCCAGGACAGGCAGGGGGGAAGGAGAAAGAAAAAAAAAAAAAAAAAAGGAGGGAATCCTGAATTGGGCCTGGTGGGTAATCCCAACACTTTGGAGGCTAAAATTAGAGGTCAGAAGATACAAAACAACCTGAGCTATAGTATAGCTCAGGGCTATAACTAAGGGCTGGAAAAAGAGTTCTGAGGTAGACAACTTGCCTGTCAAATGCAAAACCCAGGGTTTCAGGCTCCAAACAGGGACTGTAGTCTAAGGCGAGGCAAGGCAAAAAGTAACTAAAAAGCAAAAAAAGATGTGGGCATGTCTTAAGTGGTAGAGCACCACAATACCAAATAAAAATAAATGAGACAATGCAAAAATTATTGTGATGTAAGTAATATAGTATAAGTAATACAGGTTCAAAAGATAGTTTTTTAAAGCTTCAAAGTGGTTACCACATTGACACTGCATAACAGTAACTACTTATACTATCTTCTCTAAAACATCCTTTTTTTTTTTTTTCTTGTCAGTCGTGGGGCTTAAACTCTGGGCTTGGGCGCTATCCTTCAGCTCTTCAGCTCAAGGTGAGCATTCTACCACTTGAGCCACAACGCCACTTCCAGGTTTCTAGTGGTTAATGGGAGATAAGAGTCTCACGGCTGGCTTTCAACCGTGATCCTCAGATCTCAGCCTCCTGAATAGCTAGGATTACAGGAGTGAGCCACCAGCACCCTGCACATCCTTCTTTTAAACTGAAAGTATAAAATGTAGTCAGGGGGGCTGGGAAGGTGGCTCAGTGGTAGAGCGCATGCCTTGCATACCAGAGGCCCTGGGTTCGATTCCCCAGCACCACATAAGCAAAAAGAAAGCCGGAAGTGGCGCTGTGGCTCAAGTGGTAGAGCGCTAGCCTTGAGCTGAAGAGCTGAGGGACAGCGTCCAGGCCTAGAGTTCAGGCCCCATGACCGGACCCAAAAAAAAAAAAATGTAGTCAGGAACTTATTCCAACAATTTATAAGAGTAAGCACCTAACTTTTTAAAGAAAATATAGCTGTAAAAAGACTGAAAAAAGGGCTGGAAATGTGGTGTGGTGATACAGTGCTTGCCTAGTAAGCATGAAGCCCTGGGTTTAATTCCTCAGTACCACATAAACAGAAAAGGCCAGAAGTGGCGCTATGGCTCAAGTGGTAGAGCAAAAGAAGCCTAAGGACAGCTCCCAGACCCTGAGTTCAAGGACTAGCAAAAAAAAAAAAAAATGTACAGAAGGGTTACAGTAACATAAGTAACTATATGTAAGTACATTTCTTGTCAAACTTGTTACCTCTTCCCTCATTTCTCTCCTGCTTTTTCCCCACCTCCTCCCTATCCCAGGTTGTACAGATAATTTCCAACATATTGTCTTGTGTGCACCGCTATTGCATTGGTTCTTTATCTCACCAAACTGTTGTTCCCCTTCCCTTCCCTAATTCAAATAAACATATATAATACCAGAGTACCAAAATCAAATACAGTGACAACAGGGGATATACCACAGGAGGAAGAACATACAAAAGAAACAAAACTCACACAGAACATTAAAAACTACAACAACAAAGAAAAACCTCTTTGTTTTGTGTTCGTTATGGGGCTTGAACTCTCTGGGCTTGGGCTCCCTTGCTCTTCAGCTCAAGACTAGCACTCTACTACTTGAGCCACAGCACTACTTCTGGTTTTCTGGTGGTTAACTGGAGATAAGAGTCTCATGGACTTTCCTGCCCAGGCTGGCTTTGAACCTCAATCCTCAAAGCTAAGCCTCCTGAGTAGCTAGAATTACAGGTATGAGTCATCGGCACCCGGCTCAAGAAAAACCTCTTGTGTCTATGACCTGGGAGTTCATTTTGCTTAGTGTCATCTTACATGGTCACAGGATAGCTTTAAAAATCTTTAAGATTCACACTGTGGGTCCTAAAATCAAACTCCCTCTTTGCCATAAATATAATGTATAACTAATACAATCTGTACAAACTATCCCCAGGTAAGAAGTAAGACTATGAAAGATGCTAGTATCTGTCTACTATACATCTTTTCTATTACAGAATCTAGATATTATGGCTCATCCTGTATCTTCTCATTCAAAATATCAAAGAGGCTTCTTTTATGTCCATGATATGCCTGGTATGAAAAAAATAGAGTACTCTTAAGTATATGAGATTAGAAATATTTCAATTGGTGTGGTTCCTGGAAGAAAAAAGCTTCTAATTGCAACCTTCTACAGAAAGGGTTAACTGGGTCTTCACAGTGCTTTTTAAACAAGACAAAAACAAACAAAAAGGTCCTTTTGAATAAAAGCAAGTTCAATAATATTTTAATCTGGAATAACATCAAAAACTTCAAAAAGTTGAGAGGCAGATCACTTTATTTTCTAATAAACATAATCTTTCAACTAAGAAATATTTAAAAATACTGTTTAAAAAATCAACTTACACAAGGTAAGTTCTTGTTTTACAATTAGTTGAGAAAACTATACTTCTTGGGACTGTGTAACATACATGTACATCAACCTGTCCTATAGAACTCTCCAACTGGATTGGATGGGAAAATCAAGGACAATTCTAGAAACATAAAATTAAACAAACCATGAGGGATCGCAACTATATAAAATAATTATACCAATTTTTGATGGAAATAATGTCTCATCATCTAACTGGTCCTGAACCCAGGTCATCAAGTAGTCAATGTATTTTGGTGCAGAGCACTTAATAGGTTTCTTTATGTTTGTTCCATCTGCCCAATGATACTCATATCTGCAATGTAAAAACAGAAAATATACCAAATATCAGTCTATACCTTTAAATAGTGTACATACTTTTTATAATATAAATGTGCGTATATTATGAAAGTATCAAAACATTTGTTAAACAGTCTGTTCCTCCAAATAAAGAAAAAATTTTAATTGCCAATGGATTGTTTTGCATTTGTCACAAAATTCATCTTTTGTGTTCAGCTGCTTGTCTCATGTGTCTGAGTAAGTAGCTTTCCCTCATATACAGCAGAATCACATGCAGCTGAAGTAGAAAACTTAATTTACTTCCTAGTTCTGTGATAGCTATCTTTGAACCTTATGGTTATTCTTCTTCTTTACATTGCATTTCTCCTTATACAGTTCTCTTTAACTTGAAGTCTTTAAATTTTGAGTTAAGACTAAAGAATGATACAGAAACTTCAAAGTAAGATTAATGAAAAACAAAAATTACCTAATATTTAAGTACATGTAGCAAAGGAGCTAAATAAGCCTTTAAATAAAACTAGCAACTCAAAGATGCTCATGAACATTATCTTTTGACTTAATAATCACTTGAAGCCCTCATGTGAGAAATAAAATGTGAAGAACAGGAAGGTGTGCAAAACACCAAAATGAAAGACACTTTCCCCACTTTCACCAGTAACAGAAAGGCAAAACCTATAAATAGCAAATGTATAGTAAAAACCTAATAGAATTGGCCTGTCTGTCTCCTCTCTCTCTTTCTCTCTCCCCCACACATAAACACTAAATTTTAAAATAAAGAATCAACATATAGCTGAAACTCTGAACTATAGAAATCAAACTGATTTTTAGGTTCTCCAATGTCCCTCTACTGCTTCATTCACTGAATCAACTGTTTTCTATCTCCAGAGTTTTTATACTGACTGAATGACATGTCAGTGAGCCTTACAAAGGAGAGGGCAGTACGGCAGAGTACTGATTGTATGGTATTTGAAAACATAAAAATTACCATGAAAGAGAATAAGTGAAAATACTTTTTAATTGTAACTACTTACACACTGAACATTCTACAATGCATAAGTTCTACATTGAACATTCCACAATGATAATTTAAAATTCATTAATATTGGTCTATAAATAAATACTGATTTACAAATAAACACTGATTATACTTTGAATTTACAATGATTCCCCAATCTTTTTTCTTCTGTAGTTTATATTGAAGATGACCTTCATTTCACTTTATTTTTCCCATTTGTTTGTTTTGGGTTTTGGCAGGGAGAGGAGGAAAAGTACTGGGCTTTTAACTCGGGGCTTCACACTTCCTAGACAAAAATACCACATACACCTTACCCCTAATTCCTCCATTTTAGTTTTTTATTAAACCATTTTTTGGGGGGAGTGGGGGGAGATCCTAGGGCCTAGGCACTGCCCCTGTACTTTTGTGCTCAAGGCTAGCACTCTACTAGTTGAGCCAGAACTCCACTTCTGGATTTTTGGTAGTTACTTGGAGATAAGATACTTAGTAAGTTGCTTGGATATCACCATACTTACATCTGTCTCCAGAGTAGCCAGAATTACAAGCATAAATCTCCTGCACTAGCTATAGCTTTTTATTACACTTTTGACAAGCTATTCTCCTTGACATTTAGTTCTGTCACCAGGGTATGAACTTGTAAATTACAACTCCAAAATATTTACCATTTCCTTATTAATAATAGTAAACGTAATTGAGAACCAACTCCTGTAAGTCATCTTTCAGCACTACTTTTCAAGAGGCTAAATACAGGTTGTACATACATAACCTGAAATTAGAAATGTCCCAAACCATCAATCTTTCAAGTACAAACAAGATGACACAAGTAGAAAATTACGCACTTGACCTCATGTGATAGGACATAGTCAGATTGTTAGGGGCATTAAAGATGTTGTATAATATTGTATAAAATATCTTCAGAGGGACTGGGAAGGTGGCTCAGTGGTAGAGTGCTTGCCTTGCATGCATGAGGCCCTGGTTCTATTCCTCAGCACCACATAAGCAGAAAAAGCTGGAAGTGGCCCTGTGGCTCAAGTGGTAGAGCACTAGCCTTGAGCTGAAGAGCTGAGGGACAGCACCCAGGCCCAGAGTTCAGGCCCCATGATCAGGAAAAAAAAAAAAAAACTTTTCAAAATAACAAGTAACAGAAATTTATTCTTCAATGAAAGGAGGAAACACCTGGGTCTCTGAACCACCATGTTTAAAACAAAGAGCTACCTAATCATGTAAACTCAAACACACTGAGAAGAGGCCAAAACAGACACCTGCCAACTACAAAATCCACAGTTCACCAAGTAAACAGACCCTTAACAGGTGAAAAACTCAACAACTCTTAACAGAAGAGGCCTATAAGGAAGGAAGGGGTTGAGAAGTCCAGCACTTTGAAAACCTCTGCAGCTTTCTGTAGGAAGAAATGAAGATTGACAGTGTAACAGCATCATGATTGTACTAATGCCTTTCACTACCTTACCTCCTTATGTGATATCACCGTACCCTTCCTGAGCTGTTCTACCTCTCTTAAAAGCCCTCTGATTCATCTATTGACTGAATTCTTTACGTATATTATAGTGGATGAGGCAATATTTTTGTGGTTATTATTTGGTAAAATAAATAAATGTAAAGTATATAATGCATAAGATTACATATATGTATAATTCATAATTATATAAATTATATAATTATATTAAATATATAATGCATGAGAGGGCTTATGTTTAGGTTAGGTATCACCAAATAAATAGTAGGTATTATTGCTATTAATAGTAAGAATAAAAGTGAGCTGAGAAAGAGAAAGAACTGATCTTTAACCATGTCTTACTTTGGTCCAGCTGACATCACCGGACAACTCTCTTCTGTACAGAAGTCTGTAATGGTTCCATAAAGCATGTTGATCTGATTGAAGAAATCTACAGCTGCAAAGCAAATATCAGTTGTAAGTGAAATAGAATGGTTAAACCTAATTTTTAAACTATTTGTAATACATATAAACAACAAAAAACTTCTATCTGGAATATATAAAGAATTCTGAAGATAAGTAAGAAAAGGAAAACATACCAGCAAATGTGACAGTTTGAAGTGTCACTCACAAATTTCTAGATAGTCAAAAAATCATTTGGAAAGATTTTGGTAATCATGGAACTGCAAATTCAAATCACAGTGGAATGTCATTCTATAGAACTCCAAGAGGCTGAAATTTATTTGAAAATGTAGAGTCAAGACTAACAGATTCTTATAGGAAAACAAATGGTTATCAAGATTTATAAAACAAGTTTTATAAGATTTATGAGCTGGGCACTGGTGGCTCACTTCTGTAATCCATCCAGCTACTCAAGAGGCTGAAATTTTTGGATCCCAGTTTAAAGTCAGCTGGGGTAGAAAAGTACAAAACTCTCATCTCCGATTAACCAACAAAAAATTGGAAGTGAACCATGTGGCTCAAGTGACAGAGAATCAGCCTTGTATGAAAAGGCTAATAAGCAAGAGCATAAGGCCCTGAGTTCAAGCCCCTGTACCAGCAAACACAAAAAAGATTAAGGCACATTAAAAGATGATCTTAGTTAGAATAAGGTAACAAAACAGAGACCAAAAACAGATTCAAATATACATAAAACACTTGATTTACAACAAACTCATTACTAAGGAACAGTAGCATAAAGACAGACTTTCCACAACTATTTCTGGGTCAATTGGTTATCTCTATGGAAAGTTTTTAAGTTAAAACTTGACTCTTTGGGGCTGGGAAGGTGGCTCAGTGGTAAGAGTGCTTACCTTGCATGCATGAGGCCCTGAGTTTGATTCCTCAGCACCACATAAGCAGAAAAAATCAGAAGTGGCCCTGTGGCTCAAGCAGTAGAGTGCTATGCTAGCCTTGAGCTGAAGAGCTAAGGGACAGTGCCCAGGCCCAGAGTTCAGGCCCCACGACGGACCCAAAAACAAAAAACAAAAAATCTTGACTCTCGCCAGCGTGTGGCAGTACAGACCTGGGAAGTTGAGGCAGAAGAGCTGTAGAGTTAAGCGGCCACAGTGAAACCAGGTTTCCAAAAGAAGGGGAAAGAAAAATGGGGGGAGAAAGGACTTTATTCACAGCATATCCATAAAGTAATTCCAAAAGGATTGTTCCTCTCAATGTGAAAGACAAAACAATAAAAGCTAAAAGAGCCTGAGAAAATATGGCCATGGCCTTTAGCAAGGATGTATTAAGAAGGGCACAAACCACACAAATTATAAAAGAATAGCTTTTATATGGTTCATTAGATTTATTCCTGGGACTCATTTTATATATTTGATACTGTTCATAATTTTTACATTTGCCTCAAAACAACCTTTTACAATTTACTCGTTAGTAATAATAACTATGATATAGTAATAACATCATGGTCTTTCAGATTTTCAGTATGCACACAGTAGCCACTAAGGAAAACACTGTTCCTGTGCAGCCATGCAATCTTTTATTCAATTACTACCTTACTGACTGACTCTGCTAGTGGCACTGTTGGAATCTGACTCATTCCCAATCTAAGAAAAAGTATCTGCATTTCACAATTAGGGTGTTTATTATAATTTTTTACAAACAGGCTTTATCAACAGTTCTTATATATTACTTGATAGGTTTTTTTGTTTGTCAGTCGGAGGGCCTGAACTCTGGGCCTGGGCACTGTCCCTCAGCTCTTCAGCTCAAAGCTAGCTAGCGCTCTACCACTTGAGCCTCAGCCCCACTTCTGGCTTTTTCTGCTTATGTGGTGCTGAGGAATCGAACCCAGGGCCTCATGCATGCAAGGCAAGCACTCTACCACTGAGCCACCTTCCCAGCCCCTACTTGATAGGTTTTTAAACTAAACTTTATAGATCTAAACTGTACCTGGTAGATCTAAACTGTACCTGGTATGTGACAAATTATATAGGATTCTAGATATACACAGTAAGACCAAAGAGGATATTCTTTTTTTTTTTTCTTGTCGGTCATGGGGCTTGAACTGTGGGCCTGGGTGCTGTCCCTCAGCTCTGTTCAAGACTAATGCTCTCCCACTTGAGCCATAGCGCCACTTCCGGCTTTTTCTGCTTATGTGGTGCTGAGGAATCAAACCCAAGGCCTTATGAATGTCACTTTACCACTGAGCCACCTTCCCATTCCTAAGAGGATATTCTTATGAGAAAAACATAAAGGTGCAATAGTTAATATAAATTAATGTACATACTGAAATTCCAAAATATGGAAACAAAAGACTTCATTTTTTTTTAAGTGTTCGATGATTCTGTCTTCTTCAAAGGAAAAAGTGCCGCAGTGGAGCTCAATGGCTATTTATGAAAGGGAACTATACAACTCATGGGTGGAGATGGGAGGAAGAGACTGGGAGAGAATGAGGGAATAGAAGATACTATGTGAAAGGAAATGTACTCATTACCCAACTCATGTAATTGTAATCCCTCTGTACATCATCTCTGTAATAACAATAAATTAACTCAAAAAATTTAACTATCAACTGCTTTTTCATTAATGTGATGAAAACCAAATTTTATTGAAAACCAATAAATGGTTTAAATTTTTTTTCTAGTGGCGCTGTAGCTCAAGTGGTAGAGCACTCGCCTTGAGTTGAAGAGCTGAGGGACAACGCCCAGGCCGAGAGTTCAAGCCCCACGACCGACAAAAACAAAAACAAAATTTTTTTCTAAACTTTCTATTCCTGGATAAACAATTTAGTCATGGTAATATGACATACTTTTGAATTATTGCTAAACTAAATTTGAGGATATTTTTAGTAAGATTTTTACACCCAAATCCATAGTTTAAAGGACCTAGTTTCCTCCCAATTAATGTCTTATAATGTTATAAATAATATTTCTTCAACTATCTTTAAGAGCCAAAGGTTGGTATTATTTCTTCCTAAAATGTTTGGTAGAGGGCCAGGAATGGTGATGCACATCTGTAATCCCAGCACTCAAGAGGCTGAGAAAAAAGGACTGGGAGTTCAGTCACCTGAGAATACACATTAAGTTCAAGGGTCTGTTTCAAAAAACAAAACTTGAATAGAAATCTCTTTTTGTGGGAATATATATATATATATATATATATAAAACATTTTTTTAATATCAATAAAAGCTGGGCACTGGTGGTTCATGCCTATAATCCTAGCTACTCAGGAGGCTGAGATCTGAGGATCATGGTTCAAAGCCAGCCCGGGCAGGAAAGACCGTGACACTCCTATCTCCAATAAACCACCAGAAAAAAAACGGAAGTGGCGCTGTAGCTCAGGTGGTAGAGTGCTCGCCTTGAGCTGAAGAGCTGAGGGACAGTGCCCAAGTCCAGAGTTCAAGCCCATGACCGACAAAAAAAAAAAGATATTGATAAGACTTCAGATTTTTTAATTCTAATTGTTAACTTTGGTAAACTGAATTTTATAATTTTTTATTCACTAACAATTTTCATTTAGGGTCAGCTGTTCACAGTACCTCCCTTTAAGTTCTAATGTTAAGGTCTTTATTAATATCCACTTTTTCATTCCTAATAAATGGTTACATGTACTTTCTTATTTTTTTCTCTACCAGTTTTACCAGGGGTTGTAAATCCACTGGACTCAAAATCTTCATTAGAATTAAGTTTTGGCCTTTTTCTTTTATTAGGTTTTTGTTGTTGTTTGTTTTTTTGCCAATCCTCGGGCTTAAACTCAGGGGCTGGGCACTGTCCCTGAGCCTCTTTGTGCTCAAAGCCAGTCTACTACTTGAGCACAGTGCCACTTCTGGCTTTTTCTTTGTAGTTTATTGAAGATAATGATCTCACAGACTTTCCTGCCCTGCTGGCTTCAAACTGCAAACCTAAAATCTCAGCCTCCTAAGCAGCTAGGATTACAAGTGTATACCATTGGCACCCTGCTGTATTTGTTTTCTATTCTATTAATTTCTGGTAATTAATTTACTGGTAATATTTTTTTAACTTTTCTTTGTATTTTGCTATTATTTTTCTAATCTCATTAGTTTCCAATACCTTTTTAAATATATAAGAATAAAAATTCTAAATTTCCTGCTTTACACAGCTTTAGCAGTATCCATGTTACTATATATAGTATCTTTATCATATTTCATAATATATTCCATCTTTCATTAAGATGTACTCTTACCAAACATATAGTTTGCTAGGTTTTTGCTATTGGTTTCTAGCTAAATTCCAATGTAGTCAGAGAATAATTGCAGTTTTTGAAAATGTGCCCAGGTATGATCTGAGTTACTTGGGTTATATGCTCCCATGTCAAACTAACTCCTTGGTTATCTTCTTCTACATGTTCTGTTAGTTCCTGAAACAAGTTAAAACATCCCATTTCACTGTGGATTTGTCTACTTCTTTCAGCCTAATCAACAAACTTAAATCACTTTCTTTTGGTTTTCTTTGCTATGCTTTGTTTTTGACACAGGTTGTTACTATGGACTCACAATCCTCTTGCCACAGCCTCTGAAATACTGGTATTACAAGCATGTACCACCCAGCCTACCTTAAGTACATTTTTGAGACATAATTAAAGGCATATGAACCCATTATTTTATGTATTCAATGTGTATTGAACCGTGTATTATTTCATTCACTCATTTACTCCAAGTACTAAGGTATTGAACTTAGGGCCTCAAACAGGGCTTCAAAGTAATCTACCATTTGTAGTAATTCTAGTCCTTTTTGGTTTTAGTTTGTGCCAGCCTGAGAGCAATCCTATCTCTACTTCCCAAGTAGCTGAGATTCCATTTACCATTCTATAACTAATTAATTATCAATAGATTAACTAACTTAATTATTCATTTATTTAGTAACTGAATTTTGAATTCAGGGCTTTGCACTTTCTAGGCAGGCATTCTATTACTTGAGCCAAGCCCCTAGCAGCTTTTTGCTTTAATTATCTTTCAGATAAAGTCTTACATTTTTGTTGGGGCTGGCCTCAGACCACAATTTTCCTATGTACATTTACACAATAGGTGGAATCATAGATACTAGCCAGCATAGTTGGGCATATTCACTGAGAAACTGACTTGCTAACTTTATATCCAAGATTGTGGCCTTAAACTACAGTCCTCCCAATTTCAACCTCCAAAATAGCTAGGTATGCATCACCATTCCCAGGTAATTTACCATTTTTAAAATCTCTCGTGTTATTAATGGTTTTTGCCTTAAAGTCTGCTTTACCTAAAATGATGCTCAGTATTTTTAAGAATACATGGAGTATTAAGATCAGTATTTAATTTGTTTCAATCATTCTGAATCTGTATACAGTCTAACTCTTAGAAGCAGCCTACCTCAGGTTTGCTTTTATTTGTAACCATTCTGACAGTACCACCATCTCCCCCAACCTCTGTGCTAGGAATCAAACTCAGTAATCAAGTGCTCTACTACTGAGTCATGGTCCCAGAAACACAGCCAAAACTACTGTTTTTTTACTGAAGCATTTTTGTCCTTTACATTTAATACGATTTCTGTCTGGATTTCTACTTACTATGGTCATATTTTCTTTTCTTTTCTTTTTTTTTCTTTTGTTGGTCATGGGCCTTGAACTCTGGGCCTGGGCGCTGTCCCTCAGCTCCCTCAAGGCAAGCTCTCTACCACATGAGCCACAACACCACTTTCAGTTTTCTGGAGTCTCACGGACTTTCTTGCCTGGACTGGCTTTGAACTGTGATCCTCAGATCTCAGCCTTCTGAGTAGCCAAGATTACAGATGTGAGCCACCAGCACCCAGCTATGGTCAATTTTCTATCTATCCTACTTATAATTCTTTTTTTTCCTCTATGTTCTATAGTTAGTGTGAGTGTGTGTGTGTGCTTTTCCTGGGGCTTGAGCTCAGGGTCTGAGCGCTCAAGGCTAGTGTGTCACTTGAGCCATAGCTCCAAATCCAGCTTTTTGGTTGTTAATTATATATGAATCTCATATAGGCTTTCCTACCAGGCTATCTTCAAACCCCAATCCTTAAATCTCAGCTTCCTGAGAAAGCTAGAATGGCAGGTACAAGCCACTGGCACCAGCTTTCTACAAAATGTATTAGTCTATTTTTCTCTATTAAATATGTAATTATACATTTATTATTATTTTATCCCACCTGAGAACAGAGGTTAACAATCTATAGTCAAAGGCCAAATGCTGCATGCCACCTAGTTTGGTAAATAGTTTTACTAGAATATAACCATGCTTATTTAGTTACACATTTGGGTGACTTTTATCTTAAAGCAGCATTGCTGAATAATTAAGGCAGAGTACCTATGGAACTAAAGCCTAAAATGTTTATAGTCTAGATTTTTAGAGAAAAACATTGCTTTCTATTTTTTCCATTAGCAGAGCACTCAAAATCAAGGGCTGGTTTCTTCTGGCTACTGGGCAACTGTTTCCCATCTTTTCCCATTTATCTACATTGGGAAAATATACTAAAGCCGTTAAAATGTCAATCTTGTTGATAATTCCCGTTAGTTTTTAATACAGCTAAAATGCTTTACTTTATCAGTGCCACTGAGTGGAAATATCTAACTAGATTCAAACCATATTCACTTCAGCAAATGTAATTTTGGAGGATTACTATACATATGGAAAATTTTAGAGTCAAATTTCATATTTCAGTCAAATGCTCTATTTTCAAAGCTAAATTACATGTTCAGAAGTACAAGCTCCAATACTTCAGTCCAAAGTCAAGTTTTACCCAGCTAGATAGAATAAAACTGTAGAATGTTAAAATGTTCTAGGCATTTCAGTAGTACAGATACTTGTGGCAATTAAAACAGAAAGAAAACACAAACAAAACATAATTATTATAACCCTCTGTATAGTATCTTTACAATAAAAAATATTAAAAAAATAAATAAATATCAAGAATGTTCACAAAAAAACATAATTATATGCTTTTATGGTTAAAAGACAATCTTCTATACAGATGTTCTATGCGGTCATTCTTATATTTTTATTGGTAAACAAATGGTACAGACACAAACAAATACAAAAAAAGAATCTACACACATTATGGAAACTCAAACACATTTGAGTATTATAGAACCATCATATAAATAAGATGGGTCTCATTAAAAGCAAATAAATCCCTTTTTTTTTTTTGGTTGTGAGGAATCGAACCCAGGGCCTCATGCATGCAAGGCAAGCATTCTACCACTGAGCCACCTTCCCAGCTCCCCTTTTTTTTAATTGTGAAAATACCCTACAGAGGGGTTACAATTAAATGGTCAAGATAATGAGTACATTTCTTATCAAGCATTGTTGCCTCCTCCTTTGTTTCCCCTTCCCATGCCTTCCCATCTCTCACTCCCCCACCATCCCCCCCCAAATAAATCACTTTTTTTCCAGTAACTAAACTCTCTTAGTCCAGGAAGATAGCCACATTATGATAACACAACACTTAAACAAATGCTATTACAATAAGGCTTTAAGATATATCAATAAAATCTTTCTGGTTCATAAAAAGCGAGTGGCAGCTCAATTTACTAAACACATGACATTTCAAATTATAATAACATATCATCAAATGTTATAAAAAGCTAGGTATGGTGGTGCATGCCTGTAATCACAACACTTAGGAAGATGAAGCAGGAGGATAAGAGTTCAAAGCTAGCCACGGCTATATCGCAAGATAAAAGCCAGCCTGAGAAATACAGTAAGACCCTTTCTCAAAACAGATAAACAAATATACTGTCTAATGTTCCTTAATTAAAGCCTAGATATTTCGAGTGTGCTTTTAATTAAATCTTATTTAACTTTTACTCCATTCATATACATTTTCTTCAATTAGAAAACCCTATCTTTGCAGGGCACTACCGGGTCATGCCTGTAATCCTAGTAATCCTGTAATCAAGAGGCTAAGACCTGAGGATAGTGGTTCAAAGCCAGCCCAACCTGTAGAGTCTGTGAGACTCTAATCTACAGTTATCAACCAGAAAATTGAAAAATGGCACTGTGGATCAAAGTGGTAGAACGCTAGCCTTGAGTAAAAAAGCTCAGGGACAGTGCCCAGACATTGAGTTCAAGCCCCACAACCATCAAACAAATAAATATTCTATCTTTAATCTTAACACCAAAAAAAAAAAGTTATAACAGCTGAGTGTGGAAGTATATATCTGTATCACCTATATTTCTACCTATTCAAGAAGTTGAGAATCACTTGAATCTGTAAATCTGAGCCCAACTTAGGAAAACCAGTGAGACACCTTCTTAAAACAAATCAAAAGCGAAATAAAACTAATAAAATTCTACTAATTTCTTTCACTAATGCTAAGAAAACTTGAACCCTTTATTTCCCATGGTTCTCTACTTTAACTCACAAGAAACATATTTACTTTTCACTTGGAGTTAAGAATATATATTTGACAAATTTCATTTTAAAAAACCACTACTGGATTTTTTTTTCCAAAAATAAGTGAAATTTAAGCCAGTGCTTCATGCCTATAATAGCATCTCAGTAAGCTAAGACCTGAGGATTGAGGTATGGAACCAGCTTAGGCAAACAACTCTGATAAAATATTATCTCCAAATAACCAACAAAAAGCCAGAAGTAGTGTTGGTTCAAGTATAAGAGTACTAGCTATGAGGGAAAAAACCTCAATGAGAGTGCAAAGCCCTAAGTTCAAACCCCAGTGCTGGAGAAAAAAAGAAAAAGAATTTGTACAAGTAACAATACGCTACTTAGAGAAGCAGTTTAGCATTATGGTTACAGACTGTAAAATTTTTATAGCTGTATTTGAGTTACGCCATTTGAAAGCTACATAACTTAAGTAGCAAGTTACTAATCTTCTGTCTCATCTTCCTTATCACACAGTAAAGTGTGATAATAATAGTACCTACATCATAAAGTTATAAAGATAAAATAAAATCATTCATGTAGAAAAGATAGAATGCCAAACACATAATTAGATAAATACTGTTCATAAGAACAGCACTTCATAAAATTTCATATTCAGAAAATAAATATCATGAGGACTAAAATATATAGAGATTATATATATGTATATGTATATGTGTGTGTGTGTGTGTGTGTGTGTATATATATATATATATATATATATATATATATATATATATATTTCTTAGAAAGCACCCCTTACAATAGTAGCCTCATTGTAAAGGAACTTAATTCAGTCTACTGAGAAACAGAAAAGCTACTCACTATTAACTGCAACCCATTCATTCAGATCTTCCCCCTCAGGAAGCATGACTGCCATGCGGAGATTGCCACTACCAAGTGTGGCTTCTGCATGTTTTAAGAGCTCATACTGGTGAGAACCTTCTGGGATGTTCTTCTTTGGTTTGAAAGTTTTAGAGGAGCGACTGCCACTATAAAAACAAAAGGAGAAGAAAAAAAAACATTTAAGGAAAAACCACCAATAGCATTTATTACGCTATATTACTGGATAAAATAACATAGAAGTGATCTTAAACATCCACAAAATAAGAGCAAGTAAACCTTTGGCTGTCCAACATTCAATCTAAATTAATGCATTAAACCCTAGCAATAGAAGTTATGTAACTATCATGTTCTCAATCCAAATACCTACAAACTTTCTCTACATTCTCTATTTTAACTCGCAAAGAAAAAAAATTTTAGCTAAAATTAATCCAGTTCCTAACAACAAATTTATCAGTTAGAATTATATATTGTAATCTACAAAAAAATCACTTTATTCCTTTTTCATCACTATTTTCTCATTCTAATATAAATTTGTCACCTTCTTATAAGCATAGATATAGGAAGTGAAAGTATAGCTGAAATGATAAAAGTGCTAGCCTTTAGCCACAAAGCAACAGTTTGAAGACCTGAGTTCCATCCCCAGTTCCAGCACCAAAAAGAAATAAAACAAAAAGCCAGTATGAAGATATAATTTTTATATAGATAGAACATAAAAATTCTAGAGCAAGAAAAGATTAAGTGTTCTAATCAAAAATCAACCCAGAATCAAAGACCTTGAAGTAAAAGCAGACACCCTGAAAACATTACAGGAATGAATAGGAGAATGAATAGGGCTCCTTGGCACAGGCCGAAATTTTCTTAACAAAAACCCAGAAACACAACAAATCAAAGAAAGGTTGGACAAATGGGACTGCATGAAACTGCAGAGTTTCTACATGGCAAAGGACATAGCAAGCAAGATCAATAGAAAGCCCAAGTATTGAGAGATCTTCACTAGCCATACAATGGACAAGGGCCTCATATGTAAAATATATTTAGAATTCAAAAAAGTTAAATCTTCCAACATCAATCGCCCCACTAATAAGTGGGCTAAAGACTTAACAGAGATCTTGCCCATGTAATGTAACCCCTCTGTACAGTATTTTCACATTAAAAAAAATTATTTTAAAGACTTAACAGAGAGACTTCTCTGAAGAGGATATAAGAATGACCAATAGACACATGAAGAAATGCTCAACTTTGCTGGCCACAAAAGAAATGCAAATCAGCCATGTACCGGTGGCTCATGCCTGTAATCCTAGCTGCTCAGGAAGTTGCAATCTGAGGATCACAGTTCAAAGCCAGCCCGGGCAGTAAAGTCTGTGAGACTCTTACCTCCAATAAACCACCAGAAAACTGGAAGTGGCACTGTGGCTCAAGTGGTAGAGTGCTAGCCTTGAGCTGAAGAGCTGAGAGACAGTGCCCAGGCCCAGTTTCAAGCCCCATGACCAACAAAAAAAAAAAAGAAGAAGAAGAAGAAAGAAATGCAAATCAAAACAACATTGAGATTCCACCTCACCTCAGTTAGAATGGTTATAATCAAGAACACTAATAACAGATGCTGGAGGGAATGTGGCCAGAAAGGAACACTACTGCATTGTTGGTGGGAGTATAAACTTGTTCAACCACTTTGGAAAGCAGTATGGAGGTTCCTCAAAAGACTCCACATAGAGCTCTCCTATGACCCAGCAATCCCACTTTTGGACATTTACCCAAATGATCACAAACAAGGCCATACTAAAGCTACCAGCACAACTATGCTTATTGCAGCATTATTTACCATAGCTAAGATATAGAACCAACTCAGATGCCCCTCAGTAGATGAATGGCTCAAGAAAATGTAGTATATATGTACAATGGAATTGTATGCCTCCATCAGAAAGAATGGCATCACCCCATTTGTTAGGAAATGGAAAGACTTGGAAAAAATTATATGAAGTGAAGTAAGCCAGGCCCAAAGAAACATAGGTCCCATGGTTTCCCTTATTTGCAATAACTAGTACATGTCTAGGACAAGTAGAAAAGGTCAAAAGCTATGGACATATGACCATGTAAAATGATGTTAAGTAATGAACCCCAAGATACGTACACAAATATTTTTCTTGCTTGCTATTATTTCTAACATATTTATAATGTACCATGTGATTTTTCTGTTTCTTTGTATGTTCCTCCCCCCACGGTATAACCCCTGTTTTCACTGTATTTGATGTCAGTGCCCAGCATTTTGTATATACATTTTTCTAATTTGGGGAGGAGAAGGAAACAAGGATACCGGTTGACCCACTGTAACAATGAGATGTACAAGACACTATGTTGAAAATGACTGTGAAATTTGGGAAACTATGTAACCACTTAATCACAATAAAAATTTGAAAAAAGAAAATCAACTTTACCACTTTGGGGGGGGAGGAGTTAGGGAGAGAAGGGACTGTAGGGATAAAACAAAGGAGGGGGTAAAAATGCTCGATATGAAATGTACTCATTACTTTTCATGTAACTGTAACCCCTCTGTACAGTATCTTTACAGTAAAAAAATATATTAAAAAAATCAACCCAGAATTCTGCTTGAACAGCTAAGTATCCAGACAACAGTATGGTTTGTTTTGCTCAAACTTTGAATGCTTACATATGTATAGCCAGTGCACATAGATACACATATGCACAAAGCCAGCCATCTCTACAGGTTCAACATCTGCTAAACCCAAACAAGAACTGATGATATTTACCCAAACAACCATAAACAAGGCCATATTTAGGAAATACTGCATCCATACTCAATATACACAAACTTATTCTTACCACTGTTTCAATCTGAATATAACACCTACTCATACAGCACCTACATTGTATTATGTATAAGTAAATTAGATATTACTTAAATACAATTTCTCAAAGTAAAGAATGTGTACAAGTTACCACTACAATTCCAGAACCTAACATAAGCATAGGTAAGAATAGATCTTTGAAGTTTTTTTTGATGAGCTAAACAGCAGCACCTCCCCGCACACACATACACAGAGCAAATACTGACATTTGCACAGTGGTTAATAAGCATGCAGAATAATATATATCAATAATAAATAAGGAAACTAACCCAAGATTTTTAAAAACAAAAGCCCCAGATTAAAAGGAAGGAAAATTTCAAAAATGACAGCTATACAGAATAACTAAAAAAAGCAACCTAGCCAGGCTCCAGTGGCTCACGCCTGTAATCCTAGCTACTCAGGAGGCTGAGATCTGAGGATCAAAGCCAGCCCAGGCAGGAAAATCTGTGAAACCCTTATCTCCAATAAACTATCAGAAAACCGGAAGTGGCCCTGTAGCTCAAATGGTAGAGCACTAGCCTTGAGCTGAAGAGGGAAAGTGCTCAGGCCCAGAGTTCAAGCCCCACAACCACCACCAACAACAACAAAAAGCAACCTATACAGAATAGAACATGTCACAATGCTTCAAGAGACTTGTTCAATAAGATAAACTAAAAGAATCCAAACACACTTAAAGTGTTGAAATACAAAAGACTAATACAATGAGTGTGTAGAAAGTTAAATTCCAGAGATAGCATGAAGTTGTTCGGAAAAGGTAAAACAAAGTCACTGCACTTGCTTTTCTGTGTGTTTATTCAATATTGCTAAAACATCTAGAAAAACAGGAAAAAAAAAAACAAAACTACTAGACATCGAGAGAGAGAATAAAAAACAGGACAGAGGTCTGGGAAGGTGGCTCAGTGGTAGAGCACTTGCCTTGCATGTCTGAGGCCCTGGGTTCGATTCCTCAGCACCACATAAGAAAAAAGAAAAAAGCCGGAAGTGGTGTTGTGGCTCAAGTGGTAGAGCGCTAGCCTTGAGCTGAAGAGCTGAGGGACAGCACCCAAGCCCAGAGTTCAGGCCCCACGACCGGACCCAAAAACAAAAAAACAGGACAGAAATAAATGAATTAGAGACTATAAAAACCCTATACAAAGTCAATAAGGCAAAAAGCTAAAAAAAATATATATATAAGACTGACCAAAAAAAACTTGACCAAAAAAAAAAAGAGCCCAAAATCAACAAAATTAGAGATGAAAAAGAAAATAACTCAATAAATATCCAAGAAATTCAAAAGATTATGAGGGACTACTCTAAAAACCTATACTCAAATAAGATATAAAATGTAGAAGAAACGGATAAATTCCTAGAGGCATGCAAGCTGCCAAAGCTAAACCAAGAATATAAATAAACCACCCAAACAGACCCATAACAAGCAGTGAAATCAAAGGACTTTTCCCAACAAGGAAAAGTCCAGGTTCCAATGGATTCATAGATGAATTCTATAAATATATGCATACAAGATAATATACATAGGGTTTTATGCATATACATGCAAACAAACTGACTCAAGGATGGTATACTTAGGGGAGTAGTCCAATGGTTTAACTCCTCTGAACAACCAACTATTTAACAAAATAAATACTAGGAAGCAGAAATATGCCCTAGATGGGGAGGGCAAAAAAGGAGGCATTTAAATACAGAGAGGAAAGATGAACAAATGCAGTCATTATATTCCATGTACCTTATGTAAAAATTAAAACTATTTAACTTCAGGGTAGGGATGGCAGAATTAAAAATAGAGGAGAATGATGGGAGAGATGACATTGATCAAGATGCATTGGATTCATAACTTGGCTTATGGAATTGTAACCTCTTTGCACAACTGAATAATAAATTAAAAAACATAAAGTGGGACACTGGCGGCTCATGCTTATAATCCTAGCTACTCAGGAGGCTGAGATATGAGGATTACGGTTCAAAGCCAGCCTGGGAAATGGCTGGAGCTAGAAGAAATCATGTTGAGTGAGCTAAGCCAA